TAAGCTTAAGATTACGTGGAGTGAAAATTAAAAGGCCCTGGCCTTTTATATGAGCCTATTATAACAATATTTACAAATCATATATAGTTTTTTTGCGAATAAGAACATTTCAAGAAAAACCGAATATTAATTTGAACTGATCAGAACCTACGTTTACACAACAATTGAGAGATAAAAAAATATATATCAAGTTTCTGGAGCAAAAGACTTCAGAGAAAAACAAAAGTACAACGACGTATACGTTTTGAGACAGCATGTAAAGTCCTATGAAGAGCGTTTGAAGCTTTCTCTTTCAACTTTTTTTTCTCAACTCAGCATACGAAGCAGTACATACGAAGCAGTACATCCCAAAAAACTCTGAGCAGTTTTATTTGCAATATGCTAGGTCATTCAGGAAAAACATATTAAATTTGAAGAGCACCCAATTTTAAAAGTATAAAGTGTTCAAGCTAAAGGATCACCAAAACTTGACTGAAAATTTTCAAAGGCAAAAGGAGGATGCTTACGTATATCTATAAAGTGAAGAAGAAAAATCCATGAAAATGAAAGAACTAGCATTGACAAGATTTGGTTTTTAAGCAAAAATATTGTTTTTCCATTTACATTGTTGTCCATTTACATTGTTTTTCCATTTACAATTCTTTTCGGCTTTTTTCAGGATTGTTGTTTTTAACGCCTTCAATCAATCCTTGTCGTTTTCTATTTCGCAAAATATTTTTTGGTGCGAAAGTCCCCAGAAAACGGTTACCTTACAAATTTTTCTAAATGCCGGTCACTACTAGCGATCAGTTTTTTGCAATACAAAGAAAATTAGTCTATATAAGGAAGGGCTGCAAAATTTGAAATCTAATTGTTGAGTTTTTTAATACAACTTAAAAAATAATTAACAGACTATTTTCTCTAAAATGCAGTAATTCGAACATATGTGTGCTTCGGCTACCGGCTCCGAATTAAAGAAGGAGAGTCTGAAAGAGAGAGATTTTTTAAAACTTGTGACTACCAGAACTAACCTTCTTTGCCAAACATTAGTCCCAAAACTCAAATTAATTTAAAAAAGAAAAATGCTAAACACGCAAAGTTTTTAATAGAAAGCGTGCAGAAACCATAATTTCGGGTTTTTTCCCGTGCCGTACTTTTCTTAAAATTTCACGTCTGATCTTACAATTGTCAGACACTAGCTGTTCTCCAGCCCTGTGCATATCTGTTTCAGATGTGATCATTTCTGCTGTTTGCAGACCCTACTTATGCATATTTGACTATAGCTGAACATACATGACTATATCTGGTCAGACATGACTATACCTGTTCAGATTTGACTATGCCTAGTCAGAAATGAATATATAACTGTGTCAGAAATGACTATAATTGGTCAGACATGACTATACCTGTTCAGACATGACTATACCAGGTCAGACGTGACTATACCTGGTCAGAAATGACTATACCTGAACAGACATGGCTGTACATGGTCAGACATGACTATACCTGTTCAGACATGACTATACCTGGTTCAAAATGACTATACCTGAAACAGAAATGATTATACCTGAATCAGAGTAGATTATACCTCGTCAGACGTGACTATACCTGGTCAGAAAGGACTATAACTGAGTCAGAAATGACTATAACTGTTCAGACATAACTATATCTGTTCAGACTTGACGCAGATGGTTATAACGCAGATGGCGATAATGCAGAAACGCAGATGGTTATAATGTAGTTCACTGTAGTTTTCTGATAGAATTACTAGCCGGCAGGGTGTTTTGATAAGGCAAAGAATTATAACGACTGCGTATTTTTAATTATTTACCTTGATCTTGTATCAATTGTTTCGGGAGCGACCTAGCTTTCAATGCAATAGGTAGTTTGAAAATTTTATGGTCCGAGCTGTTGTTTCTTTGTTGTGTCTGGGGCATGTAGGAAAAAGCTCCTTTGTTTTAGTTATCGCTTCTCGGCCTTTTGTCTAAGATCATGTTCGATTATGTTTTTAATTAACAACAATGCTCGCATTTAGGGGCACGATTGCCCGAGTGCCATTTCCCACGATTTTGCCCCTGAGGCGCACCGATTACGATGCGGCCATCAAGGAAGCGTCTTTTAAACGCGATATCATCCGCCATGCAAAGAAGAGATTTTTTATAGATCTGGATAACGTTCTGTGTGAGTGCAAATTCTGTAATAAAGCCTTTCCAGATCGAAAAAAAGCCACAACGCATCAGGTGACTCACTTCAAGGATCCTTCATTTGAGATCAAAACCTACACGTGCAGTTCCTGCAATCGAGCATTTGCCACCGAGCAGCCACACGCGTCAATAGAAAGTAGCCCGTCCAATTGAACGGGACAGATGATCTCTATCTTCATCCACACGAGGATTTCAGCAACCAGTCCCGTTCACGAAAATTTCAATGCCGAAGAATGGTTGGATACGCTCATTCCCGCCAAACCCAAGAAGTCAAGAAAACAGCATTCTATGCAGAGTAGGCAATAACAGTGGCAGAGATCCAAAAACTGTACTGCACTAACAAGAAGAGAGCCTTAGAGTACTTTGTGGGGCCCCAAACAATTCTCTGCAGAAGTCTCAAATGACCGTCCAACTCGGCTCAAAACCAGTAACTCTCACCTCCAGTACCAAACCTGTAGAAGCACTGCTGGAGAGACAGAGAAGCACTGTCGCGACCCTTCTCCGAACAAGAACTAAAAGCAACCCCTGATCACGCATCATCTGCTCCTGGCCCCGATGAATGGACCTACGCTAATTTGGCTCAGTTAGAAGGTTTCGTGACTAGCCTTTACGTCCGGTTTGGTCCAGTTAGCAGCTTCAGGGGCTACGCCTGATAGATGGAGGAATTACGAAAATCTACTTCTGTTTAAAAAGCCCAACGAATTTCAAGAGGGAATGGATAAGGACCTAAAAAATGTTCGCCCTATAGCGCTATCAAACGTGACATACAAACTTCTCACGTCAATGGTCTGCAAACTACTATCCTCATGGCTCGAGAAGAACAATGGCATCTCCCACAGGCAGCGAGCTGTCTTTTTCAGAAAAAGCGTCATGGAGAACATGCTTATCTTAACTGAGTACTTACGCTCCGAGAAAGGTGTTCTCTATCTTGACCTTAGCGATGCGTTCAACAGTGTGGAACACTCAACTATTACCGGAGCTCTACAAAAAGTGCCCAGAATGAATTATAAAAATCATACAGTCCGTTTACACAGATTGTAATTTACAGCCTACCGACCTATCAATCAGAATAATATGTGACCCAGTGAACGTTTCCAGAGGTGTTAGACAAAGCTACCCACTCAGTGCACTATTATTTAATGTGGTCCTTGATCCAGTTTTCAGGAGTGGAGAGATGGCATCTTCTTCCTGCTTGGGCTGCAGAAACTAGTTGACAGCGCCAATTCACTGGGCTTTACCTTTAACACTGCCAAATGCGGAGCTGCAAACAATCCCATACCACTCACCATCAGATACCAATTGGTATCACTGCTGACCGAAGAAAGAGCCTTCAAGTATCTTGGAACGACAGTATCCCCGTCAATGGTTAGAGGACACGAGTTCTGCTTCAAGAGAGCTTCGGCCTTAGTGCAGCTAGTAGAAGATTCTCAGCTCTCCCCTATGCAAAATTTACATGCTCTCAGGACTAAGATCACTTCTATGTTATACCATCTGCTAGAAAATTCATATATTGATCAGAACCAACTCCATAGGATGAACCGATCACTGCGAAAGATGCCAAAACGCATCCTTTGTCTATATGTGAAAGCAACTACTGCGTACATCAACTTGAACAGTTTTTACGGAGGACCTGGACTTCCTGATTTGGTCCTGAAAAAAGCTAAGATGACACTGAAATCTTTCGTCAATGCTTTTGATATCAACGACTCTATGGGAACGCTCACCCTGAAATTGCTTTTACATGGATCATCTGATGAAGAGATTGTACGCTTAATTAACCAAAATAAGAAAGCTGGACTCTCGGAGATCGCAAAAGAAACTTCTCTAGCCCTGCAACGAATTCGCAAGTACTTGAACCTGAAGATCAAATGGAACTGCATAATGACAGGTTGATTATGCAACTTGCAGTTATCAGCTATCGAAACCCAATGGCCAACGCTAAACTTCCTACTCACAAAAAGGAGTCTTGCATCCTTATTAGAGGCCCGAGACCAAGGTTGTTGCTGGAAGTTCCTCGGATCATTGCATATTGCGACTAAGGCGAGATATAGTTTCTACACCAAAGTCTATGATTGGCGGTTCATTCATCGTGCAAGGCTGTACCTCACCGCTCTACGCGGAGCAATCACGTGGTGTAGAAAAGAAAACTCGACCTGCGCCCGCTGCCAATTGACTCAGGATACACTCAATCCTGTGATCAATAATCGTCCAGTGAACCGTAAGCCAGTGATAAACAGACACGACCAGGCGTGGAATCTCATTAAATCAAGTATTCCTGCTCATTAGTAACGATTTGGGAATCTGCAGCCCGAACTAATTGTCCAAAATAATGAAATCCAGACAACCCTCATCCTCAATATCAAAATTTCAGCAGAGGCCACAGAAACCCAAGAACAGCGCGACACTGACATGGCAACCAAAAATGAGGCACTGAGTTGTGCCTTCAAGATTTACGGCCACGAAACTTCTGTCCATACTGTTCAACTTGGAGCCCTAGGAAGTGTTCGACGATGCACATGAACCTTTCTCGAACAACTGCTCAACTCAAGAAGACAAAGCAACACCCTTGTGAGGAAATTGGCAAACCAAATTGTCCACCATGCACTGAACGTTGCAGTTGGACACATCATCGGAAACGCCCAAACTTATAAGACTGTGACCTACAAAATCAAATCTTCACCAAACGATCTCAAACATCCTCAAACATCTCAAATGTTGATCAGTTTCAATATAAACTAAGACTTTCATGCTTGCTATGATTTCAAAACTTTATTTTTACTGTTTTCATTGTTCCTTTAAACTCACCTGTGTTAGCGAATTTTGATTCTGAGGAATTAACTTTTTCATCTGTTCTTGTCAGTTTAATACCTGGCATGCTGGGCATTGCCTGGCACCAATACTAAACTGATTTTTGCTTATCCAGTTAACACCGAAGCTTGCTTCAGTTGACTCACGAATTGTCCCGGTCTTACACTACCATCATGATTTGTCTGATCATGTAATTTCATGCATGAGCATGTCTAGTGCAGGTATGATCATGTAAAGTCAAGTATGATCATGTCGCCTTCAGGTCTGATCATGTAATTTGAGACATGAACATGTCTGGTCCACTCTTACTCATGTCCAGACTTTAAGGGTCGCAACACATCCGGATTTAGACCCAAATTGCATAGTCGCGCCGAGAGTTTGAGTCTGGAAATTTTGAATATGAATCGCGCTGTGAGCCGCAAAAGTCTGGGCATAACGTCTCCGCTTTGGCCTGGAAAGTCGCGTCGTCTCAGCCTTGGTTCCGAGGAATTGATTCTTGGTCGCGCCATCTCCGCCTCGGTCCGGATAGTCACGTCGTCTCCGCCATGTTCTTAAAGTCGCGCCGGTGGCACCGTGGTCTGGGCTGTCTACGTTCTGATTGCTAAAGTCGCACCGCATCCACCGCGCTCGCAAAGAATTCTTTCTTAGTCGTGCCGTCGCCGTCTAGGTCTGGAAAGTCGAGCCGTCTCCGCCATGGTCTAAAAAGTCGCGCCGTCTCCGTCTTGCTCACGAGGAATTGATTCTTGGTCGCGCCGTCTCCGCCTCGGTCTGGAAAGTTGCGCCGTCTCCGCCTTGTTCTGGAAAGTCGCGCCGGTGGCACCGTGGTCTGGGCTGTCTACGTTCTGATTGCTAAAGTCGCACCGCATCCACCACGGTCGCAAAAAATTCTTTTTTAGTCGTGCCGTCGCCGTCTCGGTGTGGAAAGTCGTGCCGTCTCCGCCATGGTCTGAAAAGTCGCGCCGTCTGCGCCTTGGTCGCGAAGTCTTCTTGAATAGGCACTTATTGGTCGCGCTGGCCAAGCTGGTCGCGCCGTTTCCTAGGTCGCGCTGTATCCATCTATGTCGCGAAAGTCGCGCCGTCTCCACCTCGGTCGAGAAAGCTCTGAAAATCTTTTTAATAAGTCGCGCCGTCTCCATGTTGGTCTGGAAAGTCGCGCCGTCTCCGCCTTGGTCGCGAAAGTCTTGAGAGTGCACTTATTGGTCGCGCCGTTTCCTGAGTCGCGCCGAATTCACATTGGTCGCGAAAGTCGCGCCGTCTCCACCTCGGTCGAGAAAGCTCTGAAAAACTTTTTTTAAAGTCGCACCGTCTCCATGTTGGTCTGGAAAGTCGCACCGTCTCCATCTAGGTCTGGAAAGTCTGGAAATGACTAAGTTTGGTCGCGCCGATCACGCCGTTTCCTGAGCCACAGGGTCGCGCCGTATCTGCATCGGTCGCTAAAATCAAGCCTTAGTTTTTGGTCGCTAAAGTCTGAAAATGGCAACTCTTAGTCACGAGAGTCTGGACATACCAAATATGAGTCGCAAAATTTTGGTCGCGCCTTCTCCGCATCGGTCGCGATAGTCTGGATATGAGTCTGGGATCTCGACCCGGGATGTGCAGGGGAAAAAGACACATCGACATGCCTTAGGACTGATACAGATATGGATTTTGTATGTATTTACGGTGTTCAGATTTGAATTTATCTAGAAATTTCAGTAAGTGTTCTGACATTTTTTATTGAGTTTTAACTGAGAAATTCTGTTAAAACCCACAACTTGCTCCAATATAACGGCAACTGCACTCAGTATAATTTTTGAAAGCGAATTCTGAGACTAGTTGCGAGTTACTTCCAAAAGAAATTCACTGTTTAAGAACCATATTAAAAACGTGAAATTTGAAAATCACTGAGCTGTTTAGGCTCCATTAATTTGCGCAAAAGGTGTATCAATATACTTCCAACATGCTAATTTAGGGGTTAGCTATCTATTGGCTCCATGAAAAACAAGTTGGTGAATTCTACATCAAAGAGAGTTGCAAGTCGCCTACCAATGCCGCAATCACTCATCTTTTAACTAAAGAGCAGACTCCAAAAAGAAAGGTTTTTATGTTCTCGAATCCGCAACAAAGCCTTTCTCTTCACTCTTATGGATTTCACTGACAACCATAAAGTTGTATAAACTTATCAGTTTCTTGCTTAACAATGCGCTAGCACATAAAAGGACGTAAACACAGAAGGTAGAAACTAAGCATCACGGAAAAAACTGAAATTTTTGGTTTTCTTGGAAAAATGCTGTTCATAAAACTAACTGCGCCGTCTCCGCCTTGTTCTGGAAAGTCGCGCCGGTGGCACCGTGGTCTGGGCTGTCTACGTTCTGATTGCTAAAGTCGCACCGCATCCACCACGGTCGCAAAAAATTCTTTTTTAGTCGTGCCGTCGCCGTCTCGGTGTGGAAAGTCGTGCCGTCTCCGCCATGGTCTGAAAAGTCGCGCCGTCTGCGCCTTGGTCGCGAAGTCTTCTTGAATAGGCACTTATTGGTCGCGCTGGCCAAGCTGGTCGCGCCGTTTCCTAGGTCGCGCTGTATCCATCTATGTCGCGAAAGTCGCGCCGTCTCCACCTCGGTCGAGAAAGCTCTGAAAATCTTTTTAATAAGTCGCGCCGTCTCCATGTTGGTCTGGAAAGTCGCGCCGTCTCCGCCTTGGTCGCGAAAGTCTTGAAAGTGCACTTATTGGTCGCGCCATTTCCTGAGTCGCGCCGAATTCACCTTGGTCGCGAAAGTCGCGCCGTCTCCACCTCGGTCGAGAAAGCTCTGAAAAACTTTTTTTAAAGTCGCACCGTCTCCATGTTGGTCTGGAAAGTCGCACCGTCTCCATCTAGGTCTGGAAAGTCTGGAAATGACTAAGTTTGGTCGCGCCGATCACGCCGTTTCCTGAGCCACAGGGTCGCGCCGTATCTGCATCGGTCGCTAAAATCAAGCCTTAGTTTTTGGTCGCTAAAGTCTGAAAATGGCAACTCTTAGTCACGAGAGTCTGGACATACCAAATATGAGTCGCAAAATTTTGGTCGCGCCTTCTCCGCATCGGTCGCGATAGTCTGGATATGAGTCTGGGATCTCGACCCGGGATGTGCAGGGGAAAAAGACACATCGACATGCCTTAGGACTGATACAGATATGGATTTTGTATGTATTTACGGTGTTCAGATTTGAATTTATCTAGAAATTTCAGTAAGTGTTCTGACATTTTTTATTGAGTTTTAACTGAGAAATTCTGTTAAAACCCACAACTTGCTCCAATATAACGGCAACTGCACTCAGTATAATTTTTGAAAGCGAATTCTGAGACTAGTTGCGAGTTACTTCCAAAAGAAATTCACTGTTTAAGAACCATATTAAAAACGTGAAATTTGAAAATCACTGAGCTGTTTAGGCTCCATTAATTTGCGCAAAAGGTGTATCAATATACTTCCAACATGCTAATTTAGGGGTTAGCTATCTATTGGCTCCATGAAAAACAAGTTGGTGAATTCTACATCAAAGAGAGTTGCAAGTCGCCTACCAATGCCGCAATCACTCATCTTTTAACTAAAGAGCAGACTCCAAAAAGAAAGGTTTTTATGTTCTCGAATCCGCAACAAAGCCTTTCTCTTCACTCTTATGGATTTCACTGACAACCATAAAGTTGTATAAACTTATCAGTTTCTTGCTTAACAATGCGCTAGCACATAAAAGGACGTAAACACAGAAGGTAGAAACTAAGCATCACGGAAAAAACTGAAATTTTTGGTTTTCTTGGAAAAATGCTGTTCATAAAACTATAATCATTTAAATCCGTGCAAAGACGAATTATTAAACTTGCCCTTAATCGTATTTCTAAAACTATTGCGTACGAGATTTTATGCGTACGAGATTTTATGCTTATTCTAAACAAAAACTTTTTTTCTAAACTATTAGAGGCCCGAGACCAAGGTTGTTGCTGGAAGTTCCTCGGATCATTGCATATTGCGACTAAGGCGAAATATAGTTTCTACACCAAATTCTATGATTTGCGGTTCATTCATGGTGCAAGGCTGTACCTCACCGCTCTACGCGGAGCAATCACGTGGTGTAGAAAAGAAAACTCGACCTGCGCCCGCTGCCAATTGACTCAAGATACACTCAATCCTGTGATCAATAATCGTCCAGTGAACCGTAAGCCAGTGATAAACAGACACGATCAGGCGTGGAATCTCATTAAATCAAGTATTCCTGCTCATTATACAATCATCAAAGAGTAACGATTTGGGAATCTGCAGCCCGACCTAATTGTCCAAAATAATGAAATCCAGACAACCCTCATCCTCAATATCAAAATTTCAGCAGAGGCCACAGAAACCCAAGAACAGCGCGACACTGACATGGCAACCAAAAATGAGGCACTGAGTTGTGCCTTCAAGATTTACGGCCACGAAACTTCTGTCCATACTGTTCAACTTGGAGCCCTAGGAAGTGTTCGACGATGCACATGAACCTTTCTCGAACAACTGCTCAACTCAAGAAGACAAAGCAACACCCTTGTGAGGAAATTGGCAAACCAAATTGTCCACCATGCACTGAACGTTGCAGTTGGACACATCATCGGAAACGCCCAAACTTATAAGACTGTGACCTACAAAATCAAATCTTCAAACGATCTCAAACATCCTCAAACATCTCAAATGTTGATCAGTTTCAATATAAACTAAGACTTTCATGCTTGCTATGATTTCAAAACTTTATTTTTACTGTTTTCATTGTTCCTTTAAACTCACCTGTGTTAGCGAATTTTGGTTCTGAGGAATTAACTTTTTCATCTGTTCTTGTCAGTTTAATACCTGGCATGCTGGGCATTGCCTGGCACCAATACTAAACTGATTTTTGCTTATCCAGTTAACACCGAAGCTTGCTTCAGTTGACTCACGAATTGTCCCGGTCTTACACTACCATCATGATTTGTCTGATCATGTAATTTCATGCATGAGCATGTCTAGTGCAGGTATGATCATGTAAAGTCAAGTATGATCATGTCGCCTTCAGGTCTGATCATGTAATTTGAGACATGAACATGTCTGGTCCACTCTTACTCATGTCCAGACTTTAAGGGTCGCAACACATCCGGATTTAGACCCAAATTGCATAGTCGCGCCGAGAGTTTGAGTCTGGAAATTTTGAATATGAATCGCGCTGTGAGCCGCAAA